TTTTTTTTAGTATCAATCATTTCCACTTCTATAATAAAGTTATTCAAAACATCCTCGATGTTACGATCGTCTTACCTTCGTTAAATAATAAACTAACAAAGTGAGAACCATGTTGCATTCGACCGATTTTATCAACCCCGTAGTAAGACTCTAGTTATTTCAAGGGTTTTCATCCATGATGATCTCAAAATCATCATTGTCATCGAAATTAGATTTACAACTAGATTCAATGACTTTCTTCCTTTTTCGAACTTAAAGTTCCCTTGGAGTGATCATTGATTTGGGCTAGCCTCTTTATAGAATCTCAACCTTCATCCTAGTATTTTCATCTTGGGACACTTAGATCTTTTCGAGTTCTACCATTTTTCACAATCATCTCCTCTTCTAAGTTATAAACATAGATAGGGGATTATCATGTTTTGACTATTTTAAAGAACTCGTCATGTTTTGACTGTCTTAGAGGACTATCATGTTTTTGGTTATCTTGGATGAAAAAACTAGGTCTTCTTCTAAACTCCAACTTTTAATTCCTTTGGTTTTGTAAACCTTGAAAGCTTGCTTGTCCTATCAAACTATCTTTCCTATATTAGTCGTCTTTGACCATTAGCCCTTCGATATGCATAACTCCTTGACTTGAAATGATTTCGAGTAGGAGAGGAGTATTTATAATTCCTCGAAATGTACTCCCTTCGAGCATCAACTCTAATCTTTTCAATTTGAGCCATATTCTTTCGATTGAAATTACTAGCTTCCTAGTCACCCGATGAGTAGCAATCATTTCCCTTATCTTCTTTGTATAATTGTTGCGGAACTCTAATTAACTCCGGTTCTTTTTTCTATTCGAGCTTTTTGTGCTCAAACTCTCTCCATGGTGTGGCTTTTTCTTTTAAGCCACTTGAGTACGAAGGTGACCCTTATATCCGGTACTCCTTAGTCATCATTTTTTTAGTGATTCAACTAGTTTTTTGCCATAGTACCTCTTTTGAAGTCAAATTTATCATCTTTCGATTGCTTCCTAACCTTTTCAAGCATATGTCTCCGACCTGGACAATGCTAGAATCGGAGCTACTTCCTCTATGACTATTTAAAAAATCCATGAAGATGTAACACTTATATATTTATGTAGAATAGTGATATGTCATTTATAGTAGTGGTCGAGCTTCAAGTCTTCAAAATGAGGAAATCAAAAAACTCCTTTTTCGACAACACAATCAAAAACTTGATTAGCCACTTTAGTGGTCTTCAATACGATAATTTTTTCTTACAAATTAGATAAGTCGAAAGCATAAAAAGTCAAAACTTCGATAACTTTAGGAAAAAAATTACTATCAATTTCGTAATTTGTTCTTTATTCAGAAAAGTTAATTCTTTTAACTTTATTAATTTTTAAATTAAATTCCTAAATAAAATATAATTATTAGTTGAATGGGATGGAGCGCTATGTCATTTACGAATTTCTCCTTTTTCAATTCTTTTAAAGTTGATAATTTATGTTTTCCTTTGAGCTTAATCCTAATTTATGTTTTAAAAATTCGACACCACATCCTATAAACAGGATGTTTTAAAATATCATTCTACCCTATTTTGCTTGAATGTGAGGTTGGTCTTTTAAGGAGAAATACAAAGCATAAATTTGAGGTTATCCCTTAGCCCATATTCTGAAAAGATGTTTGGAGTAACTAACAAAATTTTCTCAATAAATGTTACGATTGATTTTAGGAGTAAATGAAACTTCAACCTTTTAGTCAAGAACCAATTCCCTCAAAAGGCAATGAGCAATAAGAAGAAATTACTTGAGGCTAGGATTGCTGGAGAGTGAGGGGCCAATGATGTAAGGGTATATAAACATAAAATACACAAAGAGACAATAAGACCACCCCCTAAAAAAATGCAAAAAAATGGAAGAATTCACTTTAAAAAGGGACCCATCAAGACACATCCTATCACAAAGGATGCCAAATTGAATGAAAGGGACATATATGGATATGATTAAAAGGAAAAAATGACCAAAGTTCGATTTGGAAGAAGAAACATATAAATATCTTTGAGAAGTCTGTAGATATTGTATAGATTGTGGAGAATGTAGAAAGACACAATAGAAGCCCTAAATTTTGGGAGAGTAAAATGAATTATTTTGCAACTTACAAGGGACACAATAAAAAGAAAATAATACAAAAAAAAAAAAAAAGATAATGCTATTTTGAAAACAAATCTTTCTAATATAATTAGATGAAAGATGAAGAGTTTAAATCCAATAGATAAGTTCAGAAAAATTAGGAATTGAATGAACATGCACTAATTGAATTATTTGTTTTCACACGTGGGAAGAACTTCCACATATAAAAACAAGGGGATAGATGTTATACCAAAATTTATTCTAGCCCTATGCCTAATAATTTGGAAAGAAAAATGGACAAAATCCATTAAATTCTTTAATGATTTTTTCTTAAACCTTTTTAATTGATTTCATTTAAAAGCCCATTATATTTATTCTATTCGAGAAAAAGCCATTCTTAATTCATTAGGGCTAACGTACGCTCTTGGCCTAATAAGCCAACCTAAAAAGAGTTGTTAGACCTTTTTTTACAAACTAAGGAGAAACAAACGGAAGATGGACTCTCAACAAAGCACTTGTCAATGTAAGAGTCGACCAAAAATATTAAAAACTATCGTGTTCTAAGAGTGAAGTGACCAACAATAAGTAGTATACGAGTATTTTAAGAATAATAATGAAAAATCTAGTATCAATAAAAAAGATGTATACAATTAAAAGAAACATGGGAGATTACAACACAAAAATAACAAAACATAGTACTATAATGCAAGAAAAGAAAAATATGAATTCATTATAGTGTAAGGAAGGAAGAACATAGAGCATTAAAGCACATGCGAGGAAGAATGGTCCATTATTGGATATTATAGAGGAGCAAAAAGTCTATAAATACCGATCGTAGTAGAAGAGAAACACACAACAATACAACATTAAAGAAAACTGTTGCAAATTGTAAATAGTTTAAGGAGTCCTTCATGAGTTTTAAACTTGAAACTTGTTAGGCAATAGATAGTGAGCAATAATTTGTAGGTGGTACTCGATAAGCAATAATCTATAAGTAGTAATCTAGTAAGTGAGAATATATAGGTCGATAATTGGTTTTTAGTCTTCCGTTCGTGCGTGCAAAAATCACAATTTCATGTTCTTTCAAGATCCGTTATGTCTAGAGTGTCCATCTACAAATGTTCTCGGTTCTCTTTTATTGTAAGTTCATTATTTTCGGTATTGCGAGTGTAAAACCTTTAAGTTCATAATTTCTAGGTTTTCATTTCATATTGTAGCCTACTATTCTTAGTGTTTTTATTGTTTAATATTCTAGTTTTTAATTAAATCATATTATTTTGATTGCATATTTAAGTAGAGATTTTGATTTTTTACTTTGAATTTTTTTTATTTTAATTTATTTTTCCTATAATTCTGCGAGATCATAGTTCTCTACTAAAGGTTTTCAAACCTATTGTAGCCTATTAAATTTTATTTAATTTAGTTTTTTTATAACACAAAATGTCAAAAATATCATTAGAATTAGTTGTAGTTTATATTTCAAAGTTATTTTAGTTTATTTACCTACAAGATTGAAAGATTAAATGTTCTAAAAAACGCATCTCTATTATCGTTTATTTCTTTTGTTACAAAATTATTTTAATTGAGACCGACAAAGGAAAACAAACCTGCAACACAATGAGACAAATTTAGAGAGCTCTCAAAAGAATGTCATTTTTCTTAGAGCAACAAGAGTTGTTGTTTTTTTTTTTTTTTTTTCCCTTCTAGCTTTAACAATGAGATTAAATGACTCGTGGGTAGGATTTTATTTTAAGCAGTAAAATCCGTAACAAATCTATTTAAGAACAACGTAAATCCTTAAATAGGAGCCTTTTGTCCTTCAGTCGACGTCTGCTGTGGGATAGAAGTGTAAACACACTGTTTTTGGTCAAAGAGATTGATAATTCATAAAAGTTTTGAATACATCCAACTAGGGACGAAAGTTCCCGACGATAGTTATTCAAATCGTACGAATGAGTGGTGATTGATTGCACAGGGTTGTCGAGGCCTACTTACTAAAACATCGTGAAATGTGAACGTATGTAGAACGTACTAGCATCATTAATCTTCTCACTATATTCTGACCCGGCCTTGATTAAGAGTTTATATATATATATATTATCCAAGAGTCATTTTTTATGTCAATCTAAGATCAAATTCATATAAATATAACACATTGAACTATCAAACCAACTATTTAGATTAAATTAAGTATAAGTTGATTCCTTCCACCTTCCGCTCCCAGACAGCAAGGCTTATATCGTCTAACTAACCAACAACAAGATCATTAGTAGATGGAGCCTTCAATCCCAAGTAGTATCTTCTTCTAATCCAACATAATTAACAATTAAAGCAAAACTGCCCACCTTTTAATGAAAGCAGTTTAGTGCAATCCCCTCTCTCCCCCCACAAACGCAACCATCCAATTTTTTTCCTTTTTTTTTTTTTTTTTTTTTTTTTTTTTGCTGCAACAAACGCAACAATTAACTCTCTCTCTCTCTCTCTCGACGCAACGCATTCTTCACTTGGCAAAATTAAAATGGCCATAATAGAATTAAAAACAACAGCAAATTAAGCACAGGGAATTAAGATTTATTTCATCCATCGCAAATAGTGGTCATTTCAGTCAATTCAGCTTTCAGTGCTCTTGCCCCCTCGGCTTGCATAGTTTGTACATCTCTTCCCTCTGGCAGTACAGAATGACCAGAATTGCTTTGCATTCTCATCTCAGAAAAGCAAAAGAACCCGCTACCTAGAAAGATGACTAAATTTTGAACCTTTTCAAAGAGAAGGAGAGAATATTGAGCTTCTAAGGAGAGAAAGAGAGAGAAAAGCCAACCAAAATGAAAGTAAACTAGCTAACAAACAAATTAATAGGTAATGCCAATAATTTTTATTACTAGAATTATATTTTTTGCTTTCCTTTGAGCATCTCCTTGTAACGCAAGAGAGAATCCAGCCTCTGCAACTTCAATTGTTGTTTGAACCTGCTGATAAAATCATCAGCTTTAGCATCAACCCCTTCATCTCCAATCAACACTGTTTTCTCTGAAGTCCTTGTCGTTGCAGGCCTTCTTCTTTCAACCTTCTCTCTCTCCACCTCCCCCGCTAATTCCAAGGTCACCCCCTTTTCGCTTGCCGACTTCTTCATTATCTGCGGCCTCTTTGTAGCTGCTTCCATGTGCTCCGACTTGCTCCTCTTCACATGATGATCATCATTCTCCATGACATTGCCCGAATCATGACCTGTAGCCGGATCGGCATCCGAACCAGTTTCAGTAGCGGGACTTTGGCTTGTTTCTTCCGGTTCGGACCTGTAGTATAAAGAAGAGAAGTTGATGGACTTGACCCGTTGTATAAGAGAAGGGGCTTGTTCGAGGTGGGGCAGATCATGTTGCCGGATAGAGGTAGTGTATTCGGGTTCTTGGGCAGGTGGGAATTTGTAGAAGGAGGAGAAGTAGTCGATGGACTTGACTCGTTGTAAGAGAGAAGGGGGTGGAGCAAGGGGTTGGTCTTCTTGTACTGGTTTATTGTGAGAACCAAAACGAGAAGCCAGAGCAATAGTGACAATCATAATATTGAGGAAGAGGAAGAGTAAGGTCGGTGTTAACAAGTTGGTAAGGAAAGCAAACATCGAAGTTGGTGGTGATAGGTCCGCCATGGATTATCTTTTTTCGTTTCCTGATCTCGTGGTTTTAATGTTATGGCAGTGGGTAAATGCTAATGGTATGAAAGAGAAGACGAGTATTTATGCTGTCTTTGGTCTATTGAAGAGAGGTGTGGTGCTGTTCAGTTTTTTTAGTTTTTTTTTTTTGTTTTTTTTTTTAGGTGGAGAATTAAACAGTGGACTGGAGATGAAGGTTTATTTCAAGTGAAAAAACAAAATAGTAATTTAATATTGTGTTATTGGAATGAGACACGTGGAATACTCTGTGCGAAAATGGATTAAAAAAACAAAAATCTACTCTGCCTTTCCCTTTCCGAGAAGAAAGAGGGAAAGCGAGTTTGTTAATTGGGATTACGATCACATTACTATCGTAATCTAGTTTGAAAGTTTGGACTAGGTTTCACACAGGCACATGGATGAGTCATTGAGTCTACGACAAAAGTCAATTTAAAATGCTGAAGAAGATGAGAAAGAGAGTTACCAAATCATGGTACTTCAATATCATCGTAATGTTTTTTTGCAACTTAATTAGATAGAGACATATGATCGGAAAGATGCATAGATCTATATGTTTGCATTGGACCTGCACGTACCATAACTTATACACACTGATGGGTAGTTATATCACATTCATCCCTTACCATAACTCTGGCCCATTGAATTATAATTTCATATGTACATGTAAAATATCTCTCCTTTTATCCAAATTCAAATGCCAAGCTAACAGGTGATGCTATCTGATGACTCACAATTGTCATGCAACTTGTATTTTGTTGAAAATTATTTTTATTTTCTATAAATTATATTTTGTGAAAGAGTAATTGTAACATGTTTATGTCAATAAAATAAGTTTTTATAGGACATGAAGTTTTTCTTAACTTTTCATTCGTTTTCTTAAATATATATATATAATGAATCATTTAATTATTTTTATTTATTTATTTATTTATTTTTGTAACGTTCCAGTTTTTATGTTTCTAGTTTTTTTTTTTTTTTTTTTTTTTTTTTGGGAGGGGGGGGGTTCTGAATTTTTTCTAGTACCTTGGTTTTACAAATTTTGCTATGTTCTTCAAATTAATTTTTTATTTTAAAAATTAATTTCTCTTTTGATATATCGTCTAATGAGTATTTTTGTTCCAAAAGTGATTAGAAAACATATGAGAGAACATACATAACCATATGAGAGCATATGGCATGAAAAAGGCATTAAAAAAATGAGCCTAATATATATATATATATACCAAAAAATAGTTAGGAAATTGTGAAAGATAAGAGTTGAATCGTGGTCATCACATGTAAAACATCCCAGACTAATTAATAAACCATCCTTACTGATTTATCTTATTTTGGACGTGGATAATCCTTTTCTGATACTTGCTTGCATGTTGGTTTTCAATAATCTCCTTATGAAAATAATTGGCTTAATGATACTAAAGGCTTTTAGGATATTGATTTTTGAGAATAATAAGAATAATAATGATAATGATAATGGTTACAATTTCTGTTATTGGGTGTCTGATATTAATTTGATCAATGAGACAACATTATCAATCAAAATTTTTCGTTAATTTTGACCTTACAGATTAAGAAAGACCATGTACCTATCAAACTTTTATTGGTTCTAATTTAGGAAAAGAAAAAATTGATTAAAAATTCAAAAAATATAACATCTGTTAAATTTCTGTTGGTAATTTTTTATTTATTTACCATCAGAATTTTTAATTATTTTTTCAAATTTTTTATTCATACTAACAATTATTATTTTACCTTAAAAATTCAAACAACAAAGAAATTTTTTTTTGGCTAACTGTTTATTTAGTTTGGCTACAGGCTAATATTTAGCTAATACCTTAGATGTTTTATGGGTCTTATAAATTAAAAGATGGTCTAATAATATTTAATAAATTATAATGCTATCCATATATTTATAGAAGTCTTTTTTATTTTAGTTTTCCACGAAAGTTTTGATGTTTTATGTTCGAGTTTTTATTTTTTCTATAAAATTTATTTCTTTACAAATATTTTTCTTTTCCTTTTTTAAATAAAATAAAAACCTACCTAGCCAAAAAGAAAAGAGAAAAAATCTCCAACATAAATAAATAAAAAATTAACAACTATTTTAAATTGATTTAGTTCTTTTATTTTTTTGAATTTTTTTAAATAACTTAAGAAAATATTTCTAGTGTTAAAAAAAAAAGACATTTGGTTAGCATAATTAGATACATAATTAAAAAGAGACTTTTAATGATTTTTTAAAATTTCTAATCAATATTTATTTTTTATTTAAAATTAGAACCAATAAATAATTGACATGTATCCTTCTTTATCTTTGAAATTCAAATTAGTGTAAAATTACCTTGAACATCAAATGCCATCCAGCTCATTGCTCAAATCGGAGTCACCAAACTGTTTTCGCCATAAATCCTGCCCACAAGTTACTTTGAGGTCATTAAACAAAAAATAATTCTTATTCTTTCATGCTTCAAGTAGGAATTGAATCAGCCAACGTGCTAGATGCTCTATTTTTTTTTTTTTTAGTAAAAAGCTAACGGTTGCCGGAATTTTATTATTATTATTATTATTATTATTTGTTTTAAATTTGTCCTGTTATGTTTGCTTTTTATCTTCAGTTCTTTTTTTTTTTTTTTTTGTTAACTTTTTTGGATTAATGGTGTTAAATTATATCATTAGCTTCACCAGATTGCAACATGTTTCAATCTTTATTTTTTATTTTTCATGTTAATATAATTTTTCAATTTTTTTTTAGTGAAAAGAAAAATTGAAACAAAGGTAAAGATAAAATATTTTTTTATTCAAAATAGTTTTTATGAATTTAAATTTATCTCTATAATAATAAGCAAATTTTTAGTATAAAATAAAATATTTATAGTATTTTTATTTTAAAGGTAAAGAGAATTTTAATTATATATATATATATATATTGGAGAATCAATATACTCTATGCATATCTCTCTTATTGTCACTTTGTTTCATTATTCTACCCAAAAAAGGGTTGAAAGCATATGCTTTAGTTGTTTCATGGCTTGCAAAGAGCAATAATTTTTGTTTCCTTAGTTTATAGGCTTGGAGAAGCAAGTTTAAGGGCTATTGCAACAACTTTTTGCTAAGGGTGGTAGGTACAACGTCAAAAAAGAGATAGGTGATTTTTGTTTGGGGTTGGAGTGTAACGACCAAGACCGTTGCCGCATAGCATATGCATGTTTCTATGTGTTTAGTTTGATAGGTAATTAATTTACTTGATATTGATGCTTAAATATTGACGTGCGTGCGGCTATTGAGAATTAGGGTGTCGTGACATTACGTCCGTGTTTTTGAAAATTAGCTACATCATAACATGCTAATTTTTGTCAACGAATATGTCCGTCCGAATTACTTAGCTGAATTATTCATGTTTCAAGGATAATCGTTGTCAAAAACTAGCTACGTCAAGACTTGACATATTCGTTGTCTAAAACAACAATATCTCGACGCGTTAGTTTTGTTGTCGAAACTGCTACTCCAAGACAAGCTATATTCGTCAAAGAAAATTGACGCGTCAAGCTTTGCTACTCTTATTGGCAAGTTTCATGTTTTAACAATCGGTTTACTCGTCGAATGTCATACTTTACTTTATGCTATGTAAAATCACTATTGAAAATGACTAGATCTAGATAAGTCATTTTTCATTGACAAAAAATCTTGCATCCGGACATGACGAGTTTACATCAACAAAAATTGTCATAAACTGTCACTATCGTGGCATTAGTTTTCATTGATGAATTTTATGTCTAGCCATACACCTTGATATATTAGTTCTTTTATCATAAAAATCATACAAGGGCACATTAATTATGACTTGTGCTTGATTTAAGGGGCTTAAGTGCATGGATTGAATATTCGAGAGGGACTTACCTTCTCCTTGAGTAAATGGAAAGCCAAGTGTCACTACCATGCCTTACAAAGGTGACTTGCCCAAGGAGGTGTCATCCTCCCAAATTTTTAAGTATTTTTCTATGCATGGCTGACCTATATAAAGAGAGGGTGAGACCATGGTTGGATTCATTTAGCCATTTGAAAAATATACAAGAGAAAACTGAAGGGTTTGTTTGAGAGGGAGCCGTTGTAGGCTGAGAGGGTTGTCGCCAGTTTTGGCCGAGGACGAGATCAAGTTACGGGAGAATCTCTTACAATATTTTAAAGTATTTTTCTATCTCATATCTCTAAATCAAGTCATTGTAATCTCAACTACATCACAAGAGTTAGACGTCTTAGGTTTTTATGTGTTAATTGATGCATATGATTGAGCATGGATGGTTTAAACTTAATATGTTTATACAAACACTTAATGAATTGATTGTTTAATTAAGGTTTGTTCATGTGTTTATGTGAGGATAAGAGTGTAACTCACTCAACCACACCACAAGACCTAGGCTTAGGTATTCCTTGACATGGTTGAGTTTGATTCATTATGTTTGTGTGTTTAGTGGAAAGGGTTAAACCTTGATACATGAGGACTTAAGACTTATCACTAAGCTTAGAATTGCATGTAAACCCTAGACGGATGTGGGATGAACTTGGGGTGACTTTGTAGTTGAATGAATGCCTTGAATTGTTTGAATGATTAGGTAACAATGGAACCTTATGTACCATTATGGTAGTATCTATATCGGGCATATCCTTGTACGACCATGCAAACTCATCTACATAATTGTGTAGTAAGGCAATGAGACTTTGTCTTTCTTCTTCTAAAATTATGATCCTAATTTATGGTTCTTTTCTATTTTCCTTTGTCCCTACATTTATATTTTGTAGCTCCTTTTAATGAGACTTTATGGATCGTTTAGATATTTATACTAGCTTGGTAAATCTGTCTACATCTTCATCCTCAAATTCTTCTTCATCCATGGTAATCGAATTTTCATTAAATTTAGGCCAAACATGTTTGATGTAATTATTTTATAATTTTAAAAGATATTCATTTTCTATATCCTTAA